TCACCTGAGTTATGGTATTCTCCTCTTCGTGATTGTCTGGATTCTTCGACTGACAATTCCGGGTTACAGGCATCCTCGAAGAACAGATCAAACATATCGTAACACAAATTAACACGGCATAGGAAATCCCGTGCGCTCAAGTCCAATCGTAAATTCCAATTTCGAGTACATGTTTGAGTACAGTTGACTTCACAGGCTACAACGATCCACGTAGAGTGACGCGCAAAAAACTGGAAGACGGTGTCTTTCAACAAATGGGTTTCTTCTACAAAAGCGGTACTGAAATACAGGTTACAAGTGTAAAATATGCAAACCTCAAACTGTGGCGCTATCCGGTTAACAAACACCGGAATCTGTGAACCAGTAATCCGACAAGCAAGAACTGTGAGCAAGCCGACGCGCAGTGCAATGACAATAGAACGAATACACCGAACAATGTCAAACAAGATCACATTAATCTGCGGTAGTCAATGCTAGGAAGTGACCTAGAAGAAACCAATCAAAACACAGTGGGTATGAATGGTAGTCATCAGTGCCCACCGTGATAGGACGGTACGGTAAATTGGTGTAGGTGTGTTCGTGTGTGTGTGACACGGGTGTCAGAGTCAGTCGATCACGAGAACGGGTCGGTGAGACGGGTGAGAGCGACAGAGAACAACGTAATAGAGCAAACATACTGATAATGCGTGCGTATGTGTAAACGGCGTGGAGAACAGTCATAGGCACGGATCATTGAGGGAATGAAATCAACAATACACGATGAAAGCACGACAATGGACAAAAAGATAGTTGTGCTGGTTATGTGTATGTGAAGAGTGTCAATACGAGGCAGAATTTATTCTACAAGAAGTATTGGACCACTGTGAGAAGGAATGTTTGGCGATTGTGTGGGCATTAAACCGATGGATGACGTATTTGAATACAAGCATTTTACACATAAAGACGTATCAGAAACCCCTGACCTGTTTCACTACAAAGTGGGACAGGAGTGAATGACCGGCACGATAGGCGTATAGCCTTCACAAGTTCACACAGAGCCAATCATTCATGTCAGGACCTGTTTCCCGGTGACCATATTTCACCTGGGCTGCGGGTGATTTGAGAAAAATCATAGATTCTGGAGTTCTCTATACCTGTATTTCTCGTTCAACACACCATGGTCGGTAGTGACCTCTGCTGACTCATAAGCACTTCTATACCAACGCTTCAAGGTCGTTGCGAATGTTATGAGCACTCGGTCACCGACATTGGCTTCTCACATAGTCTGTTGACCGCTGACTCATCAGCCATTTCAGGTTTTTGCACAATTAAAGACGAGAATGCCTCATTTTGAATCGACTGAAGCAAGTGGGGCGCAGTGAGATTAGCTTTTCTTGATGCATTTCCTCCGACAAGGAAGTTCTTAGCGTTTCTGCTCGTGCTTTTTTCCAGTAATTTCGTCCATGGCATTTATGTAACCAAAATACAGCAAATACAACTGGAGCGTTAGACTCTATGGTCTAAAGAAATGAACGAAACACTCAAGGTAGAACAGGCTTTTTTATTCCGCATTTGAAAATAGACACTATAAGTTGGTCAGGAGTCAGAATGTGGACAAGCCAATTTGAAATAATCGAGTGATGAGGTCGAATTGCATTGAGCAAACATCGCGATACAGCTTGCAGGTAGCCAACTAGGACGCGGTGAGCCAAGGCACATGCAGTCTGACTGGCTGAATGTCAGAAAGCTGACCATACAGCTATCGGCTGGCCAGTGAAGCATGGATCATTGTATGACTGACATAGTGTAGTCTTCAACTAATTTGAGCTTTTAGTTGTGCAGGAAAGTGAGATGTGTTGGGGTTTCATCAAGTCTCCGCTTGAAAGATTCAATAGTTGGCGAACAAACGACGTAAGATGGAAGGGTGGTTCACACTCTAACTGCAAAAGATTGACACAGGCATTCCTGTGGCCACTTTGGAATAAGTAATTTTAAATGTCCCCTAAGGTATATTTTGGGTGACAACGTGAACAGCGGCCAAAACGGACAGTCGAATGTACACTGATAGCAAACTTAGGAACAATTCGGCCAAAGGCTCGCCGTAGTAAGTCGACATTATTCACAGCATCGGACTAAGCCCCGGCGCAATTCATCGAAAAGTTTAAGTCC